CACGCGTGCTCTGAACCGGCGCGGCGCCATCGAGTCACTACGAATCATCAATCTAGGAGAAAATTCGAAGCGGGAGATTTCGTAGCATTCCTTTGCACGGCGATCGATATTTTATAGAATTTCGCATATACATATGTATATACGTACATATCACGGAATATTAACACTTCGATACCTTGTCCCACAATATATGAGCCGTTTATTTTGAAAGTGGCATAAGTCACTTTACCGTAATGAAAAGTGGTGATTTTTTAATGTTTATACGAAATTATTTATACTGAGAAAAATATCAGTATCCTGAGATAACAGATACAAGTAAATCTTCTCGAAAGTTAGCATCCATATTTTTAAACGTGTTAAAACGCAAACCCTTAAATATATCGACTTAAAAACAAAGTAACTTATGCCACTTTCAAAATAAACGGCTCATATTACATATTTCGTTTGATGTAACTCGATGGTTCGAAGAATATAAAGAAAAATCGTCTCGTTCCATTTGGAGAAGTTCGCTATCGTTTTTCTATCCGCGATAAAAACAGTTATCCAAAAAGTTATATTTCGGTTCGGAGTTACCGGATTCGCGTAGTATAACTTGTCAAAGAAAGAATCGTTTGATTTCAACTTTATGCGCTTTCCGTTACCCGCGACCCTCGGATCTTCGTAACTTGAAAACTTATCTTTTGCGATACGGTACATTCACGTTGGTGCTGCGATGAAAGCTGAGATCATCGATTATGGCGGCAACTGAAGCTGCGAAAAATGTCTGTCTCTGATCTATTTATAATGAAGCTGTGCAATAGCTCAGTTTCAATCATTTAAGTGTTCTCAAAATTAAGTGATTTTTTAAAAGCAATATTATTATGAATATGATTATGATTATGATTGTTATGATTGCTATGATTATTATGATTATTATTATTATTACACAATTTAATTCCATTTAATTTAATTTATATTTTTATTATTACACAGATTAGCTATATTTATTTTTATTCCAACAAATTTCAATTATTAGAAAAATAATTTTTAGTTATATCATTTAGGCGAATTTTAAAAAGGTTATTTCGCTTTAAGGGTTGTCCGAATATCAACCCTTTTTTCGCTCGACTGGCGACTCCGAGGTGACGCTAAAAATTGCTATACTGTTTTTTAAAAGAATTTTCGTAGTTTGAGCAATTTTGAAGCTTGTATTCGATGAGATATTCAAAGACAGAAGTTTTCTACAAGCAAACAGATTCAATTTTCTATGCAACCGATAAAACCGATCGTACAATATTGAAACACTGTGAATTGAAACAAATGTCTTTATATTTTGGAATTAAGATACTTAAGTGTGAGAATTACTGCGGACGCTCCAAATACTGCGGTATTATATAAAAATAGTAACATCTATTTTATAGCGTGTAATCTTCTAAAAATGAATCTCATAATTTTTTATACGTTCAATATTGATAATTTATGACATTTCAATGTCACGTGACATTTTTATATAATCACATAATGTGTACGAATACCGAAAAGAAAATAGTAAGACTCGATGAAAAGGAGAAAAAGGAGAAGGAATAATAAAATGATAAAAATGAACGATAGATATTTTTTGAATAAATTAATCTAGGCTACTATCGCCAATAAATGTATCCGCGGCTTTTAGCAACCGTAACCCTTCTGACGGAAATGAGTCAGATATTTTATTTTGTCTTTTCTTCAATCTAACGAGCTTATTAATGGAGCTGAAGATACCAAAAGAACGTGCAAGAGGTCTTCCTTGCGATCTTTTTCCGACGATACGCTTGCAGTTTCAAATGCACTGCTAAGTGTCGGGCGTCGTTAGACGGAACCGCGAAATAACGAATACATAGAGCACAGAAGAGCAAATTGGAAATAATTTATAATTTATTTGTCCCGTGATTGATAAAACGTTACCAACGCGCGCGCGAGTTGCATACGTAATAATATATACTTGAAACTCGAATTCCAAAACTTGAATCCCAAACCTTCGAATCAAATTTGTATATTATTGATATAGTATTATATAATTGTTTATACATTAACATTCGTGTCAATCCTTGAAAATTATAATTTACACATATAACAGAAACAATAGATTCGAAAAATTCTTCCAAATGCAGTCAAATTATTTTTCGTTGTATATGTGTATGTACTGCGACTTTAAAGTTACATTATTTAAAAAAAACACTTACAGAAACTGGCAGCTAATTTTCACGGAAATATCAAAGAACTGCATCAAAACTACAGGCTAGTGATTTTATTTTGACGGATGCGTAGCGACGCGATTACTTCTATTCCGAAAGCTTACAACTGGATTGGTTACGACGGTGATTTACGGTTGTATCGCGTTAAATATCTTAAAATATATGATAGATATTATTACACGGTTCGGATATACATACAGTATAAAATGACATTTCGAACACACTCGTCTATCATATTTAGGTAAGTACGAAATCCCAAAAGCGTCTCGCAATCCGGGAATGGGGGTTCCTGAGGTCATTTGAAGTAACTTTTCCCTTAGCGAAAATATAATTCGCGGTTTCATTTACGAGTTATTCACGAAAAACGCTGACCAATGAAAGATCGCGTACGGCTGACGCCCCACCTACTCGACCACTGCCGCTGCGTCAGACGGCCAGCGCGACGCGGCATTGGCCGCGAGGGCGGAGCACCGGTCAAGCTCGTCTCTTATTGGTCTGTTGTTCCCTACTGAAATTGGTTCTCTTCGATAAAACGTATTCTACAGATTTTTATGAATCATCTTTATTCTACATCAAAGTATCTTACCTTCCTGCAAGGAGAAATGTGTATACACTGGTAAAGGAGATTTCGAGGAGTAATAGAAACTTCCAACTGTTGAGTCAAAATTATCCTATTTAAACAAATCATATCCTGGAAATTATGACTATCCTGGAAGTTTCACGATGATGAATGGCGAGAACGTTAGTGGCATTGTGGAATCGAAAGGCCCTTAGACACACGGGTTATGTTAGGGTTATAACAAAAAATAACTTAATGACATCAAATGTTGAAGGATTGGAGGTGGTAAAAAGCATTGGTTTTTCGCGTCTAAGTCGCTGTTTTTGAACACTGTTGGACGCGCCGCAACGAGCCGATCGATCGAAACGTGACCGTCCCAGGTCGCGAATTGTTCGGGAATCGCTTGGGTCAGCTCTACGCGAGAAAGGGTCGATTCATGGGCTCGCTCACGGACGTGTCGTCACCATAAAAGAAACGCTTGACGAGATTACCGGCTCGCGATGGGAAAATTGCGATCTCGAGCGATCCGGAGAGCTCAGTGCTCGGCACTCGTCGCTCGGCACTCGTCGCTCGGCACTCGTCGCTCGGCGCTCGGAGCTCGGAGCTCGGAGTTCGGCACTCGTCGCTCGGAGCTCAGCGTTCGGCACTCGTCGCTCGACGCTCGGCACTCGGCACTCGGCGCTCGGCACTCGGCATTCGGTACTCGTCGCTCTGCGCTCGGCGCTCGGAGTTCGGCGCTCGACCGACGCGATGGGAAGTTTAGCCTCGGCGCTGGGGTCTCCCGGCACACGGAAAGCATTCTTCGGTTTCACGGAAGCTGGAGTAGCTTGACGAGAAGAGGCCCCAGCTCAAACCGGGTCCGGAGATCGTCTGCTTTTTATACGGTAATCGGAGATTTCTGCGAATTCGTAGGCGTGGGATGCTGGGTTCTTGTTTTCGAAGAAATTTCATTATTCCACCTTGCGAGAGTTTCTATTGTCACTGGGGACGTGACGAAGTAACCAAATTGCCGGTGGGATCGTCCAAGGAAATATATGCAAGATTCTACGCTGTAACTTAATAGTATGCGGACACTTATCAATTTTATAGAAACTACGAAATATAATGTATAGTATTATTATTAAATGTTTATTGCGAACGTATGTATACAGGATGAGTCACGAATTAGTTCCCACGACTTTTTAGCCCCTTCCGATCGTTTAACAAAAAAATGTTTCCTATCAAAGTTAATTAGTATTTAGAGAAATTGCAATTGCTTAAGTTTAAAAACAAATTGATTTTCGATAAAAAAAAACAAGGTCGCCATTATATTTTTAAATGAAACTAGGTAATTTTAACTTTATAGTATTATAGGCGACTTCGAATCGGATGCCACAATGTTTGAAATAATTTGGCGACACGTAACACCAAGGTCTCGCATGTAAACAGAAACAAATGAACGTATGTATATGTATAATGTATATAATGTACCTTATATACATAAAATTGTTCAATTCGATGTCATCAATGTATATAATCGAATTGAACAATTTTGCTGTTTAAATTCTGTAAATAAATAAAAGTTTACGCAAGGAAAAAAACATCTATAAACATATAAAAACAGTGATCAATGAGAGGCAAGATCGGCTGACGCCCCACCCTCGCGACCTCCAGCGTTGCGTCAGACAACTAGCGCGACGCGGCATTGACCGCAAGGGCGGAGCGCCAACCGCGTACGCCCTCCGATTGGTCTGTGTTTTTCGTAAATAACTCGTAAACGAAGCCACGGATTGCATTTTCGCTAAGGAATAAGTTACTTGAAATGGCCTCAAGAATCCCTCATTTCTCGGAAGTAACATTCTCTATAACAAATGTTTCCTTCTATAAAAAATTCTCTATAAATATGTAATTTTTATTCGATTCCAGTAAGTCTGAATTATCGATGTTATGTTGATTCTGTAAAAATCAACAACAAAGAGTATCCACGACAGTAAAACTAAAGGTATACATAATTTTCGTTGCAATATCACGAATATATCGATAAATGCTCTAATATCGATGGAAAATGAAAGGTCGAAAGCCAATAGGAAGAAGCCCAAAGAAGATTAATAATAATAATTATTATTAATATAATAAAATAATTATTGTAATTAATATAATAATATAATTAAAATAAAAATACAATTAATATAATTAATAATAATACAACGCGGTTCTGTCTGCTAGCCTCGATTTCTCCATTCGACGAAAAAATTCTTGAGCTTCGTTGAGAACACCTATCGAGATGAAACCGATCAAAAGGTGTCCTCTTTGTGATTCCGAGCAGCGTGGCGGCGTTACCTTGAAAATCATGATTAAAGCCGATCAAAAGGCCGATCACGTTTGAGAATCTCGGTTGTAGTCGTCTCTTTTGGCGATCTCGGCCAACATACGCGGTGTCTACGAAAATAGCTGCATTTATTTTCTCACCGGATCGTGGGATATGAACTGAACGTTCTTGCGAGTGGCGCCTGTGGCCGATATTCTTCTCCGATATGCTCTCGATGCCTTTGAGCGAAGATAGAGTGCCCAGCAAAAATAGAACCGTCTTGCATGCGCGTAGAAATTATTTCCATCCGCTTCGTTGCACCGGCTTTACAACACGGCCGCGCTTCATCGGCGACCGAATAAATGCCTAAACATTTCAAATGGTAAATTCGGACGGTAACCATTATTATTTAGCCACCGGTAAGCTTCGGCGACCGATCCTCAAAATCCCACTTTACTGCGACAAGTGTGGCGGAGGGGGGGGGGGGCGTGAGTGGTGGAGCCCCGTGGGGTGACCGATCTATTAATTTTATTATATATATATATATAAATTTTTTCTCCGAGGCACCGTTAATGAGGCGGCTCAGCCAACCAGCGCACGAAGCCCAGTTCCGCTCATTGGCTCGGTCGCCTCGCGCCAGCTGAGCACGCCTCTCATTGATCACTGTTTTTCGTTAATAACTCGTTAACGGTGCCTCGGAGAAAATTTTTGTAAAGGAAGAAGTTGCTTCAAATGACCTGAGGAACCCACCACTTTCGGATTGCGAGACATTTTTGGGACACCTTGTATACACCCTGTATATTATACTTATTTACATGTGTATATTAGATCTATAGGACGTCTTATAGACGTTCAGTGTAGGACTATTAAATCGCCATTATTTCAAATTGATCGATATCATTTTTACGATCAAATAATGCCGTTGAAAATAGACATTAAGTGGCCCGGACTGTATAAACACATTACACTTTATTTAACGACACGGTTATACCAAATTACATGATTACGTTAGACACGAATTAGTAACAAACGCGGAGCATGCGCGCGCTACCTGTTACAATGAACGTGGTAACAATCAACCGAACAATTAATTAATAAACCGAAGATCGCATGAAGCATGTCATATAATTACTAACGGGAACGCGCGACGACATCCACATCGTCTAAACAAAAATCACGAAATGAATTATTCCGAACAGTTATTTCTTATTTTCGCTCGAGATAAAATTTGACAAGGTACGGGCAATATCAGCGATTTTTAATGCGCCTCGAAGGATGGTAGGTTCCGCGTTAATCGGTCGAAGCCGATACTACTCTCGGACTGTGGACCGAATTTTTCACGGAACACCTCCGACTGGCTCTAAAATACAAGAACACGTATGTATTCAGCTGCAATCCCAACACCCAACTCATCCCCCTCCCTTCCCTTCGTTACGTAACTGGGAAGTCATGAATCATTCTCCACCGAGCAACCAGCTTGGACCTCGTTAAACGACACCGCGGGACGATCAATGATAAATTGAGGAACGTCGAGCATCTCGGTCGTTGTCGTTCGTTCTCGAAGGATCATCTAGTAGGATAAGTGTGGGCATTACTGCTGACACCCCAAACACTGCGGTATTTTATAAAAGTAATAAAATCTAACACATTTTACAGTGTGTAATCTTCTAAAAATGAGTACCATAATTTTTTATACGTTTAATATTGATAATTTATGACATACAAGTAACAGCAATCGCAGTTCTAATTCGTTCATTGACTTTTGATATTCGGAAGCTTATGAAAACGTCGAGTTTTGTTAAATAATCGTAATGACAGCTGTGAACGCTAATTCGAAAGACATTTATATTTTGGTAATTAATACTAAACTATTCATTTCAGCGTTATTTTTAGACAAAATAATCGTTACTTTCATAAAAAATCGACGTACACTGTTACTATCATCTATCCTCAAATATTATTTACTAACACAGTGGCGCATAGTTTTTTACCATGTGTGTACATTACTGCGGCGCTTTACCGAACTGTGTACCTTAACCTATACAGCGAGATTTTGCGATCACGCTTGATAGTAAAGTACGTACACCTAATTTGTGAGAATATCTTGATCCAAGGAATTGTAGCTGAGTGTGTATATTTAAAAGAGAATGGGAAAACTGCAAAGAAAGAAGTCGAAGGAAAGAGAAGGAAAAATATCAAACGATATAAAAAAATGGAGAAATGTAAGGTTATGCTACTCTAAGGAAATCGTGACGTTAAGGTAAAATATAATATAATATAATATAAAATAATGTAAATGTATTATGTGCATACAGCGAGATGTTTACAGTGACGGCAATGCTAACATAATATAAAATATAATATAATATAAAATAAAAATATAATATAAAAAGACGACTTTTTATAATATAAGATGCTTTTGAGATTGTATAAAGAAAATTGGAAAAAGGATATGAAGTATTTTTTATGAAGAAACAGATTTACCCTCGGCGGGGCTCGAACCGAGTTAAAAATATTCCTGAATCGGAGACCCTAGCCGCTGCGCCAAACGAAGACTGTAAAAAGCGTCTAAAGATTCTAGTATATGTCGGACATAGCGCTATTTTCGTTTCTATTTATTTTGAACTTTTTTAAATTACTTATTTGATCGTAGAAACGTGTTTAACGCTGCACAATACATATGTAGATTGAGTGGACACAATCAAGTATAACTTAATTTCTCACGGAAAAAAATGTCGGAAGTTCGGTTTCTATTTTTTGCGAGAACACTGCTTTTGGTTACATCGTTCGATAATTAGAATACCGAAGGCAAAAATTTTTGTTCTTAAGAAGTCTGCAAGTTCCGACATTTTTTGTAATCACAGCTTGCAACCGAAAAATCTGAGGAAATTCTCCAACGTGCGGCTTGTAACCCAAAATAGGACAGACCTTTTTCAAAATTTTATGAAGCCACCCAAGAGTCCGAATGTTAATTGCATATTAATAACCATGGAATTACATAGGCAAATAAACCCAGCAATCAATGCTATTCTAATATTCAAATTAAATTAACATTAAATTTTGATTGAGTCTTATGAAATACTCGTAACCGTAACCGGCGCGATCACGCTCGATCATACAGTACCTATATCTAATTTGTAAAGTGCTACAGTGAGAATGTCTTGATCCTAGGAATTGTAGCTGTGTGTATATTTAAAAGAAACTGGGAAAAGTGCAACGGAAGAAGTCAAAGGAAAGAGAACGAAAAATGTCAAGTGATATAAAGAAAAGGGAAAGAAAATGTAAGGTTATGGTACCCCAAGGAAAACGTGGTGTCAGCCTTGGAAGAAATTCATGGTGGAAACTCTATTTCACAAGTATTTTGGAAATATACAGAGTGTCACAATTAGAGATTCCTGAGATCATTCGAAGCAACTTTTTCCTTTGCAAATATGTTCTCCAATGCATCGTTAACAAGTTATTAGCGAAAGACACTGACCAATGAGAGGCGTGCTCAGCTGGCGCGAGTCGGCCGAACCAACGACCGGTCGAAGTCCGGTACCGCTGATTGGCTCGGCCGCTTAGCATCAGTCGAATGCTGGCTCCTCGTTGGCCAGTGTTTTTCGTTAATAACTCGTAAACAAAGCCGCGGATAGTATTTGCGCTAAAGAAAAAGTTACTTCAAATAACTTTAGGAACCCTTTATCTCCCGGAAGTACGATGATTTTGGGGCACCCTGTAGAGTAAGTGTAAATATTACTGCGATTTCTCAATGACTTTCTCTGACAGTGAAAACGAGACGTTTTACGCCAATAAATTGATATCTTGCGCGATACCTATTATTCTTTACTTTTCTCAAAATATTGGATCTCTGAAAGCACATATTTCATTAAAAAGAGTAATGTAAAGAAACCATACGTGTGCATATACATATTACCGATTACATACTGCGTAACAAACACTGCGGAGGTTACGATTACTACGTGTCAAGTACCATGCACGATTGCTGCGTTACTCTAGAATGTTATATTTCCGTGATATTTGTGCAACAGAGTTTCCTGCACGAATTTCTTGCAAGGCTAACGCCACGTTTTCCTGAGTGTAGCATAACCTTACATTTTTCCTTTTCTTTATATCGTTTGACATTTTTCGCTCTCTTTCCTTCGACTTCTTCCTTTGCACTTTTCCCATTCTTTCTTTAAATGTACACACACAGCTACAATTCATAGAATCAAGATATTCTCACTGTAGCACTTTACAAATTAGGTATATAGCTATTGTACGATCAAGCGTGTTCGCGCCGGCTCGTCGAGAACTGCGCCGTATAGGTTAAGGTACACAATTCGGTAAAGCATCGCAGTAATGTACACGCATGGTAAAAAACTATGCGCCACTGTGTTAGTAAATAATATTTTCAGGATAGAAGATAGTGACAGTGTACGTTGATTTTTTATCAAAGTAACGATTACTTTGTCTAAAAATAACGCTGAAATGAATAGTTTTGCATTAATTACCAAAATATAAATGCCTTTCGAATTAGCGTTCACAGCTGTCATTACGAGTATTTCACAAGACTCGATGTTTTTATAAGTTTCCGAATATCAAAAGTCATTGAAAGAATTTAAACTGCGATTGCTATTACTTGTATGTCATAAATTATCAATATTAAACGTACAAAAAATTATGAGATTCATTTTTAGAAGATTACACACTGTAAAATGTTAGATTTTATTACTTCTATAAAATACTGCTGTATTCGAGGCGTCCGCAGTAATACCCAGGTTTATCCTGTATGTACAATATTTATTTTTAAGTGAGCCAACGGACGGAGGCAGTGGGAATCTCGCGTCCGCCGCGCCGTGTCATACGGTCAGGCCGATAAATCATAGGGATATCTGATGCGAGTCGCAAGCGGCATAATATTTCGCAGAAATTCTACGGAAGTAGAATCGTGGCTGCTGCTCGGGGACGGATTGCAACGTGTTGCGCAGCATGAAACCGCAGAATAGAGACAGATATCCCGGCATTGTAGTGCAACAGGTTGCTCGTGTCGGCTCTTTTCTTCCGCGCGAGATCCTCAATCCGGGCGCCACCCACCCTCATCCTTCGTTGGGAAAATCGTCGCTCAGCCGATCGCCTCTCCCTCGTTTTCACGAGCCAGCGCTTCAGCCTCCCCCTTTATCTGTCTCCCTCTCCCTCTCTCTATTTCTCTCTCTCTCTCTCTCTTCCTCTCCTCCCGCTTTCTCTGCTCATTCGCTCTCCCGATCCCCCTTTTTCCACGCGGTTTCCCTCTCTCGCCCCTTTACGGCTATCTCGCTCCGACCGCTGCAAATCGCTCTCTCTCTCTCTCTCTCTCTCTCTCTCTCTCTCTCTTCCACTCCGTCCCA